AATGAAGCTGTCGCATAGTTATCCTTGTTCGATCCAGCTATAAGACATTAATGGTGAGTCTAGTCAACTTTTATTAGAAAACGTTCCGAAAGTTCTCAATCAAAGACAGTGGCTCACCTTGTGAGCAGACAGCAGCTATGACTCAGCTTAGAGGTTGCATGTACACATGAACAGAAATGTGGGCTTTGTTTAAGTGCTGGAACCAAAGTTTATTCTAAAAATATTTGCTAGGAATACGAGCAATAGCACGGGCAACAAGATGAAGCTGCAATATTCACCTCGTTAAATTTGTCAGTGAGTCCATACAGAAGCCACGTAATCAACTTGCAGGTGAATCCGCATGCTTTCTGAAAGAATCGCATTCTCATTTGGCTGCATTTCCAGAAAATATACTGGACGAGCGCTTCCACGTTCCAATCCGAAAGCAGTAACGATTTAATAACCTTCAGTTCGTCTTCAGCATCCACTGCGACGAGAAATCCCATGATGAGATGTGAGCTAACATCTTGGAATAGTACTGAAAAATGAGAAATAATTTGGCATGTAATGGATCTAAAAGTTGTCGCAAAAGCACTGCAGAAAGTTAGATAGAATAACTTCGTTAACATTTACCCTTTCATTTGGATGAGGTGGTACACTGCATTCCTTCACATTAACAACAGTTTTGGAGTATCTAAAAGAATGATTTAAAAGATTCAACTGGAGCGTCAGACCCTTGCTCAAAAGGATGTGGTTCGCTTCCACTAGGACAGAAAACTAATTTTCCGTTCTTCACAGCGCGAAACTTCTTCTGCACCAGGAAGCACAGGTCCACCCCTGAAAAAGAGTAGGCCTGAGATTTCCGCAGTGTAAAAAGGTTTCACGCCGCGAACGACGGAAAAGTCGCTTTATGTCTTAGCGAACCACACCATTTTCAAGCAGGCTAATGACAGACTGCGACTGGAGCGACTAGCAAACGAATCGCCTACGCAATTCGTTCGCACCATTCGCTCCAGCCGCAAAGTTTGACAGCCCTCAAGAGGCATGATCAGCCAAATCCCAACAGCTTTTGGACCAAAATAAACAAATATCCCCTGAAGCTAGACAGTAGACATGGCCTAAGTTTCAAAAGCTTGTCCACCGCAATAGTAGTGAATTCAGAGATTGCAAAAACATGAATATTAGAAGTACTTTGTCTAGTGCCCCTACGAATTTACCATCGTCCACAAAAACTTCCGCCTTCTCTGCGTGGAAGTTGTCATGAACCTTTAATAAAGGTGCCTCACTTCTCGTAGGATATCAGTAAGCTGAGAATGACAACCAACCTTTGAGAACATTTCCATCGACCGCTGAGGAACACTCTCTCCAGAAACGGGTGGATAGGATCACGACCGTTCTTACCAGCATGACCTTGAGGCTGTTCTGCTACTGCAGTTATCCAGACGGTATCGGCTTCACCAATGTTTGCCTAGGACACTTCAGAATGAACGAAAAAAGTTATCTAAAACACTTTTCTGCATAAACACTCCCTGCTTCCGTGTATTTACTGGAAGCCATGTGAGCTGGTAGTTTTTATGCCAATCCTGAGTAATATTCATCCGTCGACGCTAGAAATCTAAACGACAACAACAAATGAAACAAGTGTGCATAAACGTTCAGAGGAATTTTTCTTCTTTGCAACTAACCTTGATCTGTGCCTCTTGACAGAACCCTATCGATGGTTCTCTGTTGAGTTTCCTTCAAGAGCTACTGGTTCACTGGGAGTGCACGCAAACTCTTCGATCTAGAACAATCATAACGTTGCGCCGGGAATGTTCCAAGAAAAAATCAAGCAGAACAGCAAAAGATTAGCTGGAGAAGTTATCACCCGCTAAGACATTCTTAGGCCGATGTCAGACTTTGCGAATCGCGCGATTCGCTAGCGTCCGCGGTCGCGTTGCGGTACCAGCCAATTGAGTGATTCACTGGCCGCGACGCGACCGCAGACGCTAGCGAATCGCGCGATTCGCAAAGTCTGACATCGGCCTTATTCTTATTGGGCGGTACGCTAACAAGGCGATCTCGACCTATGGCACCAAAAAGTAAGTTGGCTAGCTCCATCCTGTATCCATCCCACGTTCAGCAAAGCTTTTAAAAACCGAGATAGCGACACGAGGACTGAACCCAGGAGAGGGGGAACGCCAGGGAGAAAAAAGCTGCTCACATGCTTTCCTCAAATCCCTTCCCCTCCATAATGCTTAGCCCTCTTAACGACATGAGCGCCAGCAGTATAGCTGTTTTTGCAATGGAAGTGCACTATGTATGTAATTGAGGGAATTGAGAGATGGACAACTTGTTTGAGCGGAAGAAGAAAACGTACTTATCAATAGATGATTGAAACCATACCATATCACTCTTCACGTTATGTTTCGATCTACTAATCCTCCTAATTGGAAGATGCCGACCTGTGCCATTCAGAATGATCCGATATAGCCTGAACGATGGCAATTTACAGTTACCTCAATTACCGGATTACAAATGTTTCGAGATTAAATCGACACGGAAGTATGGATAGACAAGCTTTCAACGTACCTTTTGTAGCTGAGAAGCGCGGGGTTCGACCTGCTCCACGGACAAGCTCCACGAGATTTCTTTTTAGGTGGCTTCACTGAACAACTTCTCGTTTAGTGTAATTTCGACTGCAGTGAAATCGAGGTAACAGGAGAGGTACCGTGAGAGAAAAAGGTGCTATACAAGTAGGGTGGGCACGCCGCATTTTTTGAACAGAAATGTATGTAAGTGGGACTGCTGCTCGCTACTACACTGTCACGGGAATCGGGGAATTCGTGATCCAGACAGAGTCAACCCTGCGTTGCGCAGTTCTCAACGGCCACGTTGCGCAGTTTCGCCCGATTAGACACGTTCTCTCGCGCGAACATTCACACTCGCATGCTCGAGCCGTCTGTGTCTCCGCCCATACAGCGTGCGTTGAGGATCTCTCAACGTGCCGTTGCGAACTGCGCAACGCAGGGTTGACTCTGGTCCAGGGGGAGTGTAGCCAATCTAGGGGGTGGGGGTGAGGGCAGTTACTTGACATGCGTGAAAAGCTGGGCGTGCCCACCCCACTTGTATAGAGCCGTATTTCGTACTTGTATTTACTATGTTCTTCTGCTCTCTTTGCTTCCAAAGTTCTTGGAGTAACGAAACAATGTAACCATGTCGAAAGTGTCCCCCCCCCCTCTCTGAAAGCAGTTTCGAGCTCAAGTGTAGATGGGTGACACGGGAAAGGGAGGGCAGGGGCATAATGGCGCAGCACGTCAAAGACATTCGAACCATGACGAACATTTTCATGTTCAACCCTTGCTTAGTTCTGTTGGCCCTAAACAAGTAGGGTGGGGAATGCGCTTTGTGACTGCCCTAACCCCTAGACTGGCTACACCCCCTGGCTCACGAAGCCCCCGATTCTCGAAGTATAGTAGCGGGCTGCAGTCCCACTTACAACATTTCTACTGCGTGCACACCCTGCTTGTGTAGCACCCGAAATACTAAATAAACACGATATTGGAGCTCACCCTATCAAGGTTCAATTTATGTATATCTCAGCTCAAAATTTCAGGTATCTCATGGTGAAGAAACACATCGATGGAACTAGGACCCAATAAAAAACGGAGAAAGAAAAAAAAACCAAAAATATAAAAAAGAGGATGTTGGAAGAAAGTCCAATCGATCAGAATGGAACTGGGCCTTCTTCTCGAACCTGCCACGGCCGTGCAATTGACCGGGTTGGTCATTCCTGTCGATAACCGTAGAATATTCGAATAGCTCCTGTGGGAAACTGCTACCGAAGGGTTATATTTGTAGCACAGGTTTATAGCTTCTAGCTCCTTACTCGAGCATTAGGAAAGGAATACTTCTGAAGGAGGGTAGCCCGGAATAAGTGAATAGAAGATGTCCAGGTTGAGCTCTGCCACCGCTGATCACCACGATCAGCCCTGATCGATGTGTTAGCAGTGGCCCGCAGCTACGGTGAGACATGGGCAAGCGACGGCAAAGCCCCGTGAAGATGGTGATTTCAAAATTGACTGGCAAAAAAACATGCCAAGCTTTACCCTCTTATTTCAATAACATAATAGTAGAACGGACTGACAAGGCTCAATTCCACACTTCTTTTTCCGCTATAATTTCGAGAAGAATACCAGAAACCGAGGTGTTTCTGAGAGAGAAAGCCATAGAGAATTTA